ATCACTATGTTGGGAAATCTCCTAAGGTCACCAGAAAAACAGTTTTCTCCAAATCAGATTCAGTACAGACAATGCATGGTACGTGTTGTTCCACAGTACATATGTTAAGAAAATTAGCATGAGCAACATTTGTATCGATAGACTACAGATTCCTTCTTGACCTCTATAGTGAATATTTAAACTTGATGACTTCAGCAGAAAGTGAGACAAACTTCTTTTTAGTTCTCCCTCATTTTCGTTAATTTAAAATGAGGAAAAGTTTTTATTCTATCCTCCAAAGCTTCCATGTGGCTCTTAGTTTATTTTGACCTGACACGTGTCCCTTTAAAGATATTCCTACCATTAACACCACCTTACATTAAAACAAATGTGAAAATCTAACATCCTTTTCTGTACTTAGGCTATTTATTTTTTGCATCTCTCAACCTGAGCATCAGGAACACAAAAGCTGCCATGATTGGTCAAACCAGTGTCCCGTCTAGTCAGGCAGCCAGTAAAAGATATTTCACAGAAAAGTGAAAGAAACTCCGTAACAGACAATTATGAAATAACTAGCTCCTTAAAGAAGTTTCTTCCTAGCCCATAAGAATGGCCATAGTGGGTCAGACCAAAGGTCCATCCAGCCCAGTATCCTGTCTACCGACAGTGGCCAATGCCAGGTGTCCCAGAGGGAGTGAACCTAACAGGTAACAATCAAGTGATCTCTCTCCTTCCATCCATCTCCATCCTCTGACAGACAGAGGCTAGGGACACCATTCCTTACCCATCCTGGCTAATAGCTATTAATGGACTTAACCTCCATGAATTCATCTAGTTCTCTTTTAAACCCTGTTATAGTCCTAGCCTTTACAACCTCCTCAGACAAGGAGTTCCAAAGGTTGACTGTGCGCTGTTTGAAGAACTTCCTTTTATTCGTTTTAAACCTGCTGCCCATTAATTTCATTTGGTGGCTAGTTCTTATATTATGGGAACAAGTAAATAACTTTTCCTTATTCACTTTCTCCACACCACTCATGATTTTATATACCTCTATCATATCCCCCCTTAGGCTCCTCTTTTCCAAGCTGAAAAGTCCTAGCCTCTTTAATCTCTCCTCATATGGGACCCGTTCCAAACCCATAATCATTTTTGTTGCCCTTCTCTGAACCTTTTCTAATGCCAGTATATCTTTTTTAAGATGAGACCACATCTGTACGCAGTATTCAAGATGTGGACGTATCATGGATTTATATAAGGACAATAAGATATTCTCCGTCTTATTCTCTATTCCTTTTTTAATGATTCCTAACATCCTCTTTGCTTTTTTGACTGCTGCTACACACTGCGTAGACGTCTTCAGAGAACTATCCACAATGACTCCAAGATCTCCTTCCTGATTAGTTGCAGCTAAATTAGCCCCCATCATATTGTATGTATAGTTGGGGTTATTTTTTCCAATGTGCATTACTTTATATTTATCCACATTAAATTTAATTTGCCACTTTGTTGCCCAATCACTTAGTTTTGTGAGATCTTTTTGAAGTTCTTCACAGTCTGCTTTGGTCTTAACTATCTTGAGCAGTTTAGTATCATCTGCAAACTTTGCCACCTCACTGTTTACCCCTTTCTACAGATCATTTATGAATATGTTGAATAGGATTGGTCCTAGGACTGACCCTTGGGGAACACCACTAGTTACTCCTCTCCATTCTGAAAATTTACCATTTGTTCCCACCCTTTGTTCCCTGTCTTTTAACCAGTTCTCAATCCATGAAAGGATCTTCCCTCTGATCCCATGACAACTTAATTTACGTAATTCAGCTGTTGAGGTATGTTCTGAAACATGAAGGTTTATATCCCTTCTATTTTTCCCCAAAGCAAATGTAACTGTAGATTTTCTCTTTATCCGTGAGAGTGTCCAATTCTTATTTTGAATTCAATTAAGCCATTGGCCTAAATTACCATATATACTCAATCATAAACCGGTTCGTTTATAAGATGACACACACACCCCAGATTGATAAGTAAAAATGGAAAATTTTTATGACCCGTTCATAAGCCAACCCTATAATTCAGGGGTCAGCAAACTTTGGCTCCTGGGCCATCAGGATAAGCCGCTGGTGGGCCGAGATGGTTTGTTTACCTTGAGCGTCCGCAAGCACGGAGGTAAACCTAAGTAAACAAAAGTGTTCCGGCGCGCCAGCTGCTTACCCTGATGGGCCGGGATAGCAACTGGTGGGGAAATTTTTTGTGGGGGAGAAGCTGGGGGTCAGCTCCTGCTACCATCCCCCAGATGACCCCAGCCCTAGGCCGGGACCCCCACACTCTCCCCATCCCATCCCTTCCCAGTTTATCTGGGGAGGACGTCTCTGGCCTGGCTGGAGCTGCTCCGGCAGGCTCTGCTCCGGCAGGCTGGGCAGCGCGACCGCAGCATGCTCCGGTGGGCCAGACCGGGCGGCGTGGCCACAACCTGCTCTGGGGTCGGGGCCAAGCGGCACAGCTGCAGCCTGCCAACCCCGTAGCTACAGTTGCTTCGGAGGCTGGGGGGGAGAGCAGCGTGGCCAGAAGCGGAGAGACTCTGGCCCCGCCTCTTCCTTTCTGGCTCTGCTGCCTCTCCTTGCTCCCTCTGTTGGGGGGAGGGGCTGTGTCCCACCTCTCCCTCTCTATACCCGTTCATAAGCCGACCCCCTTCTCTGGTGCTTCCCTTTTTTACTAAAAAAATTCGGCTTATGAACAAGTATATATGGTGTATATATAGTGACATTTAGTTCCAGAGATGAACTAAAATAAACTGGCCTGTTGCACTTTGCATACTTGATCAATTTCATACTCAGGTTCTCATGCACTGACACAGTCTTACATAGTTCAGGTAAGCGTAAGCCAAGAGATTTTCCACTGAAATTTTTGTTGCGTCACTGATATGTTTCTATTGTTTTTGAGTTCTGTAAAACCTTGCTTTTACTAAATCCAAGTTTGAAGATTCTCTCATTCTGTGTCTCCTTTTCAGTGTTTAATTATTGTTGAGAGAGAAGAACTTACCAAGCACAGACTGAAGGGGGAAAAAAACAAAAATAAAACAGACTTTCCTTACAACTTCCATCAAGTTCATTGACTAGCTTCCCATCAAAGTCAGCCTTCATTCTACCTCTCCACCCCTTTTGCAAATGAAATTAAGAGGCAGCAGGTTTAAAACAAATAAAAGGAAGTATTTCTTCACACAAAGCACAGTCAACCGGTGGAACTCCTTGCCAGAGGATGTTGTGAAGACCAAGACGATAACAGGGTTAAAAAAAAACCTAGATAAATTCATGGAGGATATGTCCATCAATGGTTATTACCCAGGATGGGCAGGAATGGTGTCCCTAGGGGGGAGGGATAGCTCAGTGGTTTGAGCATTGGCCTGCTAAACCTAGGATTATGAGTTCAATCCTTGAGGGGGCCACGTAGGGATCTGGGGCAAAAATCAGTACTTGGTCCTGCTAGTGAAAGCAGGGGGCTGGACTCGATGACCTTTCAGGGTCCTTCCAGCGCTATGAGATAGGTATATCTCAATATATGAATAGCCTCTGTTTGCCAGGAGCTGGGAATGAGTGACAGGGGATGGATCACTTGATGATTACCTGTTCTGTTTATTCCCTCTGGGGCACCTGGTTCTAGCCACTGTCGGAAGACAGGATACTGGGCTAGATGGACCTTTGGTCTGACCCAGTAGGGCCATTCTTATGTTTGCATAAAAGCCCACATGCAAAGTCAGAAGCTAGCTGACTTCCACAGTCTTCTGGTTTCCACTTCCAGCATCCCCCAGAACACATCACTCAATGCAAACACCTAACCAGAACAGGGGGGAAAACAGCAAACTTCATTTTCCCTTTTGTAATTATTGAGTAATATTTGTTCTCTTCCCCACCCCCTCCACATTTAAAGCTAATTTGGTTTCACAATTGTCTTTGTCTCTAACAAGAGATTATACAACTCTCACCTACAGAACAATAGTGTTCAACTGTCATAAAGCTTCCCTCAAGATCATCTCACTATTTTCCCTCCTGTTTACCTCTACTTCTATATGGCAGCTCTCCTTACAAAGGGACAGCTTTGCTATTGGAAGTCTGTCCCTTTCCTCCCACTCTTTAAAGAGAGACTGTCAGTTTATGCCAAAATATTTAGATTTGCACAAGCAGAATATTGGGACTTGTTTTGGAGACTGGCGTTAAAAACCCTTTTGAGGCATTTACAAGCTCAGCAAGGCAGCATTGACCCATACACCAGAACCTGAAAGTGAAACCAACAAGCTTGCCCAGGAGAAGAGAAATGCAATAAGTAAACAAGATAAAGATAGGCTACAGAACAAACAGCACCAACAGGGAAGGTTAAATGAGATGTTTAGATTCCAGTCAGCAATTTCAGATGTTGTTAGTGAGGCAAATCAGGAAGACTGCAATGTCTCTGGGTGAAGCTTCCTGGCAACACTCCACAGGTGTACAGACAACAGCCACCAACTTGGACACCCCACTCCTCCTCTATTGCACAGACACTACTAACAAATGTTGCTGCATGATGCGGCTTCTCCATCCTTTGGGTGGAAAGCCCCTGGCTCTGTCCCTGAGCTTCAGCACTCTCCTGGGGTGGTAACTCCCACCCCTACTCCTTCTACCTGTCCCCCACACTCCTTCCTTCTGCCTCTAGTCCCCATTTGGGCCCAGCCCCACACCCCTTCCTCCTGCTGTTTTATTGCTACTACTCTCCTATCCCCGTCCCCAGACCCACCCACCCACCCCGGCCTTCTCCTGCCCCCCCCCCGTCCTACCCTTCTCCCCTCCTGTCCCCAAGCCCTCTTCCACCTTCCTCCTGCTTTATTGCCCCCACCCCTTCTCCCCAATCCTCCTCCTCCTTCTGTCCCCCAAGCCCACTCCCCAGACCCTCCTCCTGCCCCCCAGATTCCTTCCGCCTTCCTCCTGCCCCCAATCCTACCCCTACCCCCTCTTCTTGAGCCTTCCACCAACTCCCGCCCCGCCCCCTCTCACCTGCACCCGCGGCCTCGCTTTCCGGGCGGGGGAGTCCCCAGCCCGGTGCGCTGTTTACCTGCCTCCCCCAGTCGCTTTCCCCTCCGTTTGGCGAGCACGTGCACTTCCGCCAGAGACGCTCCCCACGCCGCGGGAACTCACGGGAAATGTAGTCACCAGCGCGGGGACGGGGCCGCTTCCGCCCGAGCCGCGCTGCGCGTTGGGAAACACCACCTCCCCAGCCGCTCTGACTGCTGGGTATTGTAGTTCTAAGGTGAGCGTGTGCGGCTCGCTGTGAGAGGCACCGCCGAGAGCCCAGGACGGCAACTCCCCCTGGCAGGCTCAAGACTGCCCAGCCCGTGTCCTCCTGGGGCCTCCCTAGACCCGCTGCCGCAAATCACATTCAGATTCCAGTTCGAAGCGACTCGCAGAGCACCCCCCCCCCCCCCCCAGAGCAGCAGCGTCGGCTAGAGGGCCCCCACCCCCAGCGCCTAAGATTTAGTTAGGGGTATTTTCAGTAAAAGCCATGGACAGGTTACTGGCCGTGACTTTTTGTTTATTGCTGTGGCCTGTTCATTACTTTTACTAAAAATACCCCTAATGTAGCCTTAGTGATGTACCATCTCTCCACTCAGAACAAGACTTCACAGTATGTTTGAGATTCAAACCCAGGGTTAGGTTGTTTTGGTGATGACCAGTCCTGATCCTGTAGCATCTCACATGATGCTATCTCTACCATCCGTTTCCTCACTCGGCAGGGTGGGACACAGTTTTCTCCATATTTCAGCACCAGTCATGCTCAGGACATATGCTCTGTGATGCAGATACATAGTTAGGTGCCAACGACATGGCTTGTTGTGGTACTGTCCTTTAAAAATAAGTTACCCTTTATTTTTCACATATCTTCATTTCCTAATACTGCTCTCACTGCATCTGTCCCAGGCAGCCAGTGTCATACAGACCCTTGGCAGATCCTATGAATGCCTCTAAGTGGAATTAACGTGCCACAAGAGCAGCAGCATCACCAACCTTAAGTGTTCAAATTTGAGCCAGGCCCCTCCAAATTATGAGCCTGACTTAAAAAACACAAGGGTTTTTGTTTTGTCTTGCTTTGTTGCTTTTTTAATAGCACATTTGGAGTTCTTTTTATGTGACTTCTGGTTTTCTATACTGTCACTCCTTGCAATTTTACTGTGAGCGGCACAATATTTGGTGGCTATGTTAGCATCTCAGTTATGGAATCCGATTATTTCCTGACAATTGCAGCATTCATTTTTTAAAAAGGTAAATTTCTGGCCCTCTTGGCTGCAGAGAAGTGCTTGAAAGCACCATACATGTACCAGCACCAGAACGCAAACAAAAAGAAACCCAACTGATTTTTTAAGCCAATCTCATGATTTTAGGGCCTTGACTAATTTTTATTAACACATTACTGAGTTTTGAACCTTTAGGCTGCACTCAGGTCACATTTCCAAGCTTTTCTCTTCAACAGAGGGCTAGAAACTTATTTAAAAACACTGAAAGCTGAAATTCCCACGCAATCATGGTACCCCAGTTGCTGCGGGCTTTAAGAAACACAACAAATATAGAGAGACTCCAATTTGGCAATGCCGGGAAGTGATTTCAGAGCACACCAAAATCTTCCTTGTTTGCCCACTTCACTAGGGTCGGACTACAACTCCCAGAATCCCTTAGCAGTGTCGGAGGAGGAGGAAGGGAATTCCTCCCAGGCAGCAATGGCTGAAGAGGTGGAGAGGAAGCCGGTGCTTGAGATGGTGAGTGTCTGGGAGGCCAGGGCTCCCTGGGTTTCCCGGTCCTGCTATGCTCCCTGGCTGGATGCTAAGAGCACTAGGGAGGCAGGCTGGGATGCTCAGGCTTGTGGCAGAAGAGCCACGTGGTGACCCACTGTTTCCCGTATGCAGCCCCCAGGCCACAGGGTGTGCTGTTCCCAAATCCCTCAGCTTCCGTGGACCTGGGACTGCATTCTTGGGTGGCCCTGTTTTCTGCCTAGCTCGATCTTTATCTGGCTCCCATGGCTGGAATATCTGAGAGCTCACCTACGTTCCTGGATTCGGAGAGAAAAGGCGCGTTGTCTCTGTTCTGCAGATGGGGGCTGGGTCTGAGGCACTGGGGTGAGTGATGATTGCCCCAGGGAGCCTGCGGCAGAACTGGGACTTACACCCAGATCTGTGCTAAAATGCTGTTTTATTTGTGTGTCCCCCGCCTCCATACCCCAGTACTGCCACCCCCAACCCTTCAAACATAATGAGTTGAGCTCCTCCCCGAAATCATGAGATTTTAAAATCTAGTAAATGTGGGTTCTTTTTATTTTCTTTCTGGGTTTTGAGCCTTTTTTGAGGCTCATGTTTTCAAGCTTTCTCTACTGCCATGAGCACTAGAAACTTTACTTTTCTTTGGAAATGAAAACAGGTTCTCACAAAATCACGTGAATCTAGAAGTTGGGGCTTTAAGAAAAACACTTGTGATTCTAGACAGTTGGAAATGCTGTTCCCCCCTTCCCCACCTACTTAGTTGTCTCATCACCTGTTGTCTTTTCTTCTAGCCTGTAAGGCACAGATCCCCAAAGCTATTTAGGCACCTAACTCCCATTGATTTCCCATTGGGAATTAGGTGCCTAAATCCCTTTGATGAGCAGGGCCCAGATTGTCAGTCACACTATATTTGTACAGTACGTAGCACAATGGATCCCAGCTTGGTCAAAGCTAGGCACTACTGCAATTTAAATGTTCAGTAGTAATAAGATTTCAAGTCTCCTTAAGTGTAAGGCCACACTTCTGGTTTTGCTAGGACCTTTTGCCTCCACAGCCCACCGCTCTGTTAAAAATTAGCTAAATGTGCCCTGCAACTGAGGCCAGAAACCAAGTGTATCCTTCAGAAGAAGATAAGATGTGGCATAGCTACAGAGCAGTAGAGGAGCCACCAACCTGTTACTGATCTTCAGCCAATCCCATTCAGAGTTTTCATCTCTCTACATTCAGCTTGAGCCTCCATTACAATTAATGCTGCAAACTTCCTCTGTATAATGTAGTTCTAAATATTGGCTGTTGGTAACAGCAGATGTGTTGTTTATAATTAAGAACATTTTATGCTTGATTTGCAGTGTGGTTTGGAGCAAGGGAGTCAAGAAGGATGTTAATAAATTGGAGTCAAGTATCAGGGGGTAGCCGTGTTAATCTGTATCTACAAAAACAACAAGGAGTCTGGTGGCACCTTAAAGACTAACAGATTTATTTGGGCATAAGCTTTCGTGGGTAAAAACCTCACTTCTTCAGATGTATAGCATCTGTTAATAAATTGGAGAGCGTTCAGCGAAGAGCCATGTGAATGATTAAAGGATTAGAAAATCTGCCTTACAATGATAGACACAAGGTGCTTGATCTTAACAAAGAGAAGGTTATTTAATAATGGGCTCTCCCATCTATCCAAGGGTAGATCTACACTTAAAACGCTGAAGCAGCACAGCTGCACCAATGCAGTTGTGCCACTGTAGCGCTTCAGTGAAGACACTACTATCTGACAGGAGACTTTCTCCCACCAGCGTAGTTAAGCCACCTCTGTAAGAGGCAGTAGCTAGCTATGTTGACAGGAGAAGCCCTCCTGTTGACATAGTGCTGTCTGCACCAGGGGTTAAGTCAGCATAACTGCATTGCTCTGGGGTGTGGATTTTTCACAACCCTGAGTGATGTAGTTACACTGATGCAAGTTTGTAGTGTAGACCTGGCCAGAGAAAGGTATAGCATGATATAATGGCTGGATGTTAAAAATAGACAATTTCAGACTGGAAATAAAGCATACATTTTTAACAGTGAGAATAATTAACCATTGGAACAACCAAGGGTTGTGATGGGTTCTTCATCACTGACAATTTTGATTGGATGTTTTTCGAAAAGCTCTGCTCTAGGGATTATTGTTGTGCAGTTCTCTGGCCTGGGTTATACAGGAGATGAGACTAGGTGATCACAACGGTCCCTTCTGGCCTTGGAATCTAGGAATCTAATGACACTGAAAAGAATGGGGAGTTTTGGCATTGATATCAGTGGGAGTTGGGACCAGGATTAGGAGCATAGGCCTTCATAGGGAGGGTTCAATTGACTGTAACCCAATACATTAAATTAAACGGTTCTATAAAAATGGGATATTGTGCCAGAACTGAAAGTTGTATGTGAAACCACAGCTGCATGGCATGTAGCATAGTATTTTATAATCAGTCTAGCCCAGCAGTGGAACAGCTGGGTGATTAGTTTGTTTAGCAGACAAAATCGTGTCCCTTGCATAGCAGTGAATTATTATGGGCTCAGTGTTTTCCTGCAAGGGTTAATCACACATCGGTGAAGAAATCTTTCTATCAGGGATTCACAGAAGTGGCAGGAGGTTCCCCATCTCCAAAAATCCATAGGTCCTTGATGAATGTATAGGTCATAGGAGAGCTGCTGGAGACAGCTGGCATTGGCACAGAAGTCACTCCCTTCTGCCATCTCCCTTAGGGGGGAGGGATAGCTCAGTGGTTTGAGCGTTGGCCTGCTAAACCCAGGGTTGTGAGTTCAATCCTTGAGGGGGCCATTTGGGGATTTACTTGGGGATTGATCCTGCTTTGAGCAGGGGGTTGGACTAGATGATCTCCTGAGGTCCCTTCCAACCCTAATAATCTATGATTCTACTCCATCTATCTATCTCCACAGCCCTGCTTCATGGCAGTGTGGCTTCTTCAGGAGTTGTGATGCCAGAGCTCCCCTGCTGCTCTCATTGTTTCACAGAACAGGCAGGGAACCAGGTCAGGCTGAACAGAGATATGGTCAGTATGAAGTTGTATACTGGGTGAGGCCCTGGATTGGTTTTATTTGGGGTTAGGTAGTGCTATGGCAAACAGCCATTATATGCCCCTTCACTTGCCCTCTCTTGAGATACAGAGCTTGAATCCAGTGGATCATCTACATGGCAGGTGGGCTATGCAGTCTAAGGGAAGTCTGAGGAGGGATGGTGGTTAGGGCACCCGCCTAGGATTTGGGCAAACCAGGTTCAGTTCCCTGCTCTTTTACAGACTCCCTGTATAACCTTGGGCCAGTTGCTTAGTCTCTCTGGACCACAATTCCCCATCTGTACAATAAGGATAATAGCACTGCCTTACTTCCCAGGGCGTTGGGAGCATAACTATATTAAAGACTGTAAGGTGCTCAGATGCTGCAGTGAGAGGTCTGTATAATGTCTGAGATAGATAGAAGGGGTAAGTACTAGGGCTGTCAAGTGATTAAAAAAATTAATTGCGATTAATTGCGTGATTAAAAAAATTAATAGAATACGGTTTATTTAAATATTTTTGGATGTTTTCTACATTTTCAAATATATTGATTTCAATTACAACACAGAGTACAAAGTGTACAGTCCTCCCTTTATATTTATTTTGTATTACAAGTATTTGCACTGTAAAAAAACAAAAGAAAAAAGGTATTTTTCAATTTGCCTAATACAAGTACTGTAGTGCAATTGCTTTATCATGGAAGTTGAACTTACAAATGTAGAATTATGTACAAAACAAACTGCATTCAAAAATAAAACAATGTAAAATTTTAGAAGCTGCAAGTCCACTCAGTCATACTTCTTGTTCAGCCAATCGCTAAGACGAACAAGTTTGTTTACATTTGCAGGAGATAATGTTTCTTGTTTACAATGTCACCTGAAAGTGAGAACAGGCGTTCACATGGCACTGTTGTAGCCAGCATTGCAAGATATTTACGTGCAGATGCACTAGTGATTCATATGTCCCTTCATGCTTCAACCACCATTCCAGGGGACATGGCTCTGTGCTGATGACGGGTTCTGCTCGATAACAATCCAAAACAATATGGACCGATGAATGTTCATTTTCATTATCTGAGTCAGATGCCACCAGCAGAAGGTTGTTTTTGGTTTTGGTGGTTCAGGTTCTGTAGTTTCCGCATCAGAGTGTTACTCTTTTAAGACTTCTGTTTAGCATATCTGGCACGTAAATACCTTGCAATGCCGGCTACAAAAGTGCCAAGCAAATGCCTGTTCTCACTTTCTGGTAACATTGTAAATAAGAGGGCAGCGTTATCTCCTGTAAATGTAAACAAACTTATTTGTCTGCTTGTGATTGGCTGAAAAAGAAGTAGGATTGAGTGGACTTGTAGGCTCTGAAGTTTTACATTGTTTTGTTTTTGAGCGCAGTTATTTAACAAAAAAATGTACATTTGTAAGTTGCATTTTCACGACAGAGATTGCACTACAGTACTTGTATGAGGTGAATTGAAAAATACTGTTTCTTTTGTTTATCATTTTTACAGTGTAGATATTTGTAATAAAAATATACACTTTGATTGCAGTTACACAGAATGCAATATATATATGAAAATGTACAAAAATCAAATCTTTAATAAATTTCAATTGGTATTTTATTGTCTAACAGTGCAATTAAAACTGCTATTAATTTCAATTAATTTTTTTAATTGCGAATAATTTTTTTTTATTTAATCGCATGCATTAACTGTGATTAATCGACAGCCCTAGTAAGTACTGATTCTGTAGTGGGCTTCCCTCCTCCCCAGGCAGCAGTGTGGGATGTTTGCACAGAGAATTCTTGAACCTAGGAACATAGCTGTTTTAGGGTGTTTGTCACAAGGTAGTGGAGGATGTTTTTGAGTTCAGAGTTCACCCCTGATCTTTAGAGAAACATCAGTAGCTCTATCTAATGCTTGTCAGCACCACAGGATGTGATGCCACTTTATTTTGTATAATATAT